GCTCCCAACATAAGCTCTTCCAAGCCATTCAAGCATCAAAGAAATGTAGAAGCCACTTAAGCACCCTTATATCAGTCGGAAACACTTCGATTTATTAGAGTAAACAATGTGTATATTTATAACAGTGTCTCCGGCTTTATTATTATTGATTATAGTTTTACAAACCGCTACAGAAAAAAACGGCTATGAATATTTTAGTGAAACAGCACAGTATTGAGTATTTCATAGGGTAGTTTTAAAATAAATTCAAGCACCTTCGTTTTTTTATTGCCCTGAAGAATTTATCTAAGGCCTTCACTTATTTCCATTGAAAAAATCCGGTGTTTTACTAACGCGCATTAATTGGAAAATAAGTTGTGCAACTTATAACGCATTAATTGTGATATTAATTGGAAACTATCACGTTGAAGATTCAGTATTTCTCGAGTTCGTCTCTACATGGTTTTCTGCAACTATTTAGTGTGTTTTCTGACAGTAGACGATTACCATAGTAGATTTCTCTACTCTTGTGAGTGCTGATTTATTATACTGATCTTCATACTTCGCTGAAATTGTGGGAGCTTATTTTATTATTATTATTATTCATATTTTGTTTCACAAGCTTACATGAAAATTTGTTGGGTATCTTGCACCAAAACATAGACAGATATACTATATGAAACGTTGCGAATGTCCATGACCTGTTTAAAAAGTTATTTTTTTTCCTTGAAAGTTGATTTACGAGGCTATAAATACAAATATATGCGATGCTATTGTGAGCGGCTTCCTTTGTCTTCGACGCTTGTTAAACGCATGTTTACACGAAACCTCAGGCACAAAACCACCTGGCTCAGTAAATAATGGTTTGGTGGTAAAAAACCAATGTATCAATAAACTGTTAAAAAACATGTAACATTCAACTGAATGCACGTGCACGTGTGTAGCTTAAAATATATTCTCCATAAATGGACATAAAACTTAAAAAACAAGATAATTACATTTTTTTAATTTAAAAAGGGGAATAGGGATCGTCAAAAAAGTACAGAAACAAGTTGAATCCAAATGTCAAAGGTTATATCTTTAAATAGTGTCTACAGTATTGTTCAAGCTACAAATCCCTATTTTGACTCCACTAACATTGATAAGTACTGTAGTCAAAATGTTGGTTTGTAGCTTGAAAAACAAATTTAGACACCACATCCAGCCTAGTTTGTTTACTTTTTTTCAGAGTCCCTAGTAGTAGGCTTAAAAATATAATAGTTGCATTTTGATTCAACTTGTTTCTTTACTTTTTTAGAGTCCCTATTTCTCTTTTTTTAACAAGTTTTAATTATTTTGTTTAAGCTATTAGTTTCATCTGTTTCTAAGTCTAGATGTTTGGAAAGCAAACAAGGAACGTCATATTCACAGATGTGGGAATATTGTCTCTTTTATTACTGTCGGATAAGACACGTAAAGTAATTTAATTTTTATACCATTTAAAAAAATATATTTTCGAATCTTTGTATTCTTAACATCTGTAAGGTGAAACCGAGATATACTATAGCTGGCCTTTACTATGCTGCTTGAATAATGATCTCTGTCTCGCGCTTTCCACTAGTTTGTTAGAATATAATTCAACACTTTATTAAATTATACGATTATTGATTAGTAGTTTGATAATAATTTTTAACGAATTGTTATTCATACGGGTTTCAGTAAGAATAACATAAAATCATCTCGACTGCACACATTGCCACTGCCGACTAGGATTTTCGCTGTATACCAGAGTTCTTTAATGTTATTATGATGTAATGTCCTACAAACTACCATTCAATATATCATGATTCGCCAGCATAAGATGTTATGTACAATAACAAACTATCGTTGTTAATCAAAATATGGATAAAAACTGAAGGGTTTATCGCTCATATATATATATGGGATTTGTTTGATCTTAATAACGTGTTTCAATGTTCCTCTCCACGATTAGAAAAAAAAATTACTGGTATAAAAACGAACACAATTCGCACATGCAATTAATAAACCCATGTACAGTAGTTGTTGGTTTCGTCTGTTTTGCAGGTTTTGCCGTACAAGCAATAGAATGTTTTTCTGCGTATGGAAACACGAAGTTACAACTTAACTCCAGAACAGAGACGTATCACCTACGTGTGGTGGATGGAATCAGAGTCTTCACTATCACCTGGATTATATTAGGAGAAACATTTAAGTCAATGAGTTCGGAGAAGACAAGTAATTATCCCATGAAACGATTAAATATATATCGTATAAGGTTTGTTTGTAATTAAGCACGAAGCTACACAATGGGCTATCTGTGCTCTGCCCACCACGGGTATTGAAACCCGGATTCTAGCGTTGTAAGTCCGCAGACATACATCGTATAAGGAAAACTGTAAATATATTCAATATATATATATGATCTTGCCCATCTGTTCCTTTATTTTATTACATCTAATACCAGTTAGTTTAGATCTATTAGTTTATTGAAGATAACGGTAAGAACATGTTAGCCCTTAAATGATAAAAATTATTTGTTATTTATTTTTCAAAATATTAATTTATTCCAATACGTTTTAACTTCTTATGCCTTTTACATTATTTGTACAATTTTACAACACTCGGGACTTTTTAACAATATTATTACAAAATATGAGGCCTTTTAATGACATTGTTACAGAACGAGGCCTTTCAATGCCATTGTTACAACACATGAGACATTTGAGATTATTAATGACATCATCCATTGTTACTCTTCAACAGATGCTTTAAGGAAGATTTTTGATCTTCGTGAAGATTTTGTCTTCCAAATGGTCATTCAGTTCCCTTTTGCTCTAGATTCTTTGTTTTTCACTAGGTAAGTTTACATTTTTATCATTTTTCAGATGTTTTATTAACATTTTTAAATTTTTTGTCAAATAATTTTACTGGCTTCAACTCGTGAGGTTTTCTAAATTATGAATTATAAGCAAAAGTACCCGTCCCCAGTGACGGGAAAAGTTTAAGTTAATCTATCAATTTAAATTATTTTGTGGACTTTAAAAAGGTTAATTGTGTTTCACTCTTGTTTCACTTATACCGCCTACCGCGATAAGTAATTGTTGAGAATTTCAGTCATGATAAGTGCTGCTCATCAATAACATACAGTAAATCTACATTTTTATTCTTAAAGTTACGTCACATTTCAAAATGTGAATGACAGTGTGATTAATTCCTAACAATTTAGTGTAGAATACCCTGCTTGGGAAATAAAATTTGGCATCAACATTATCCATGCCTGTTCTCCCGTCATTTCAAAAGTGAATGTTGAGCTTTGCCAGCGTGCGCAGCTTTTCAAACGCTCGGACAGACACCACGGTTCGCATTGTATATAAGATGTGCGAGTGGCATCGATATAAAATTAAATTTAAATTTTCGCAACTATTCACATTTGGTAGTCATTCAAGAAATTCAAGCATATAACTTTAAAATCAATCCGACAGGTAAATATTTGTTATTTCCTCATATTTCATTAAGTAGTTAAAAAAAAAGACGTAATTTGTGTGACTGTAGGTTTCCTGCCGCTAGTGTCCTCTCTGGGAATTTTATAGAACTAATGTCATTACGGATATTGTTTTGAAATAATCCAATGAAAATACCAATATCAACCAGGTAATGCGATTATACTAACAGCCTTAAGATTATAAGTATAACAAAGTTCTTGGACGAAGAAATATATCTTAGCTTGAATAGCTTTAAGGTATTCGTTGCCTTATAATGTCGCATCGTTATATGTTACAACTCTGTCGATTAACGTTCATCTGTGTTAGTTTCATAAAGAAATCCATAATAACGAATTATACAGAAACACTTGGAAACAAAAATATCGTTGAGAACGTCATTTTGCTACACTACCGCCCTCTAGTAGTTCGAACAGTGCTGGAAATGAATTAACTGCTGCGTATTCAGAGTCTAGTTTGTATAAGAAAATCTAGCAGTGGTTCAACAACTGAGTAAGAGCAGACGTATAAGATGAATGACGAAACCAACGATCCACAAAGAATTGTCTACAGTAAAAGCTGGACGCTATTATTAAAGAGTAAATCGTTATATACAAATGAAAGGATGACTGGTAATATTTGGTAGGATGATACCATGCCTTTTTACTCAATAGGCAATAGTTAATGTGATAGCATACACTGAGTGTGAGAAAACTCGAGAGAAGTGCGAAACTATTAGTCCTAGATGTTATCATGTATTTCACCTGTAAATATCAGAAACTATTAGTCCTAGATGTTTGACAACATCTAGGACTAATAGTTTCTGACATTTACAGGTGAAATACATGATATTTACAGGTGAAATACAAATTTCCGATATTTATCTAGGACTAATAGTTTCTGATATTTACAGGTGAAATACATGACAACATCTAGGACTAATAGTTTCTGACATTTACAGGTGAAGTACATGATAACATCTAGGACTAATAGTTTCCGATATTAGTCCTAGATGTTATCATGTATTTCACCTGTAATTATCAGAAACTATTAGTCCTAGCTGTTATCATGTACTTCATCTGTAAATATCAGAAACTATTAGTCCTAGCTGTTATCGTGTATTTCACCTGTAAATATCGGAAACTGTTAGTCCTAGCTGTTATCGTGTATTTCACCTGTAAATATCGGAAACTATTAGTCCTAGCTGTTATCGTGTATTTCACCTGTAAATATCGGAAACTAGTAGTCCTAGCTGTTATCATGTATTTCACCTGTAAATATCGGAAACTAGTAGTCCTAGCTGCTATCATGTATTTCACCTGTAAATATCAGAAACTAGTAGTCCTAGCTGTTATCATGTATTTCACCTGTAAATATCAGAAACTAGTAGTCCTAGCTGTTATCATGTATTTCACCTGTAAATATCGGAAACTAGTAGTTCTAGCTGCTATCATGTATTTCACCTGTAAATAACATCTCGAAACCCCGATCTTCCTTTCTGTTCTATAGCGGAATGCTGATTACGTACCTTGCTTTAAGAAGATTAAAAGACAATAATGGAGAATTTAGCCTACTTCGTTACTATGTTCATCGGTACTGGAAGTAAGTATAATAACAAATACGAGTTTGGCTATTTGGTTATTCAATTCAATATGATTCACACACTAGATACATATGTTCTAAATAAGTAATATTTTTTAACTGCGTTCAACTTAGTATATAAAGAAGAGACACAAAAAGAAGAGAATGCTTATACGAAGCGTATCTCCTCTAACAGGAAAAAAAAATTAATAACTAGCTGGAGTACTCGTCCTCTGGACGGAAGTTATGTAAATTCATGATTAATGAAAGTGTATCTTAGGACATGAAAAGTTGCTTACCTTATATGTAACTACACCAATCAACGTCATGAAATAAAATACTTAGAAAACTCCTCCCCTCCCCGTAACAGGCTTAGGACTGCCATTTAAAACAGCTTCAAACCAATTGGAGCTGTTTTAAAGTGGCCAGGTTAGAAAGTTGTTGTTTTTTATCTCTTCCAAAATGTTAACACAGTAGAAAATATATCATGGACCCAACAAACCTTCATGACAAATTTGGTGAAGATCCATCAACAGGGTGCGAAGTAGTAGTAAAAAACGCAAAATAAAAAACTGGAAATTTGTATGTACCCCTGCATGGACCTAATGAACCTTCATACCAGTTTTGATGAAGATCCATCCACACCCTGCGAAGTAATTACATGGATAGGCAACAGACAGTACTTTTATATATAAAAAATTAACATAAATATAAATACGTAAAAAAGTTACAACATGTAACATATCTTATAACACTAACTGACAAGTGTATCGCAATGTAATGTTTCTAATTAACTATGAAAATAACTAAATAAATAATAAATTTAATAGATAGTTTTATAAACGAACTTAACTTTTTTCAAGAATTAATTTCTTTTATATTACTTGATGTTACGTTTCAGATTTTTACCTCTACATAAGTTATTGAACGTTGACCTATTGGGTTTTTAAAAAGTGGTATGTGTAACTCAGCATTAATTCTTGTATCATTAGATGTGTAACTAATCTGTATGCTACTTTCTTGATGATTTCTAAACTATAATCCCAAACTTCTAAACCACACTAGAGACAGAGAGTATGTAAAGGCAACATGTGTTATGTCAGCTTCAGGCTTCTTTAATGTGGTGTTCGTTCCCTTCTTTCAACAAGTGTTGCAAAATTTTATACAACTAAAAAACTTTTTTTTCTCTGTGTAGGATGACCCCTACTTTCCTCATTATTTCAGGAGGAATCTGGTTATTGGAGGATCTTGGTAGTGGTCCGGTTTGGAAGGAAAGCCTTGATCCTTTAATCAAAAGCTGCAAAAAAAACTGGTGGACAAACGTTCTGTACATCGGAAACTTTTACAAAGTTGAAGATCGAGTAAGATATTATTTAATTCGGAGAAACTACATTAAATATTTGGTTAAACATCCAAGTTCAACTAAATCAGATAAGAAACCATAGCAATTAGGCTTAAAGACGTTACTAAAAGAAGCTTTCGAGTTTTTTTTTAACAAGCTGGAAAAATATGATCCAATATTACGAAAAATAGCAGCAAGGCCTAATTATCTCTCAAATAAAGTAGTAATTATTGAAATATAAGTAGAAATTTTTAGTAGTATTTATCAAAGAAAAGTTACTGGAGTCTATTACTGAAAGAGGATTAGGATCAAAATCAGTTTGAAACATGGAGTTGAGAAAAATAATTGTAACTTAAACCTGAAGCAAAGCATGAATTAGGGTCTTGACCAAAATATTTCATATTTGTGTTTTTTTATCACAATAAGTTAAATAAGTAAAGTTTGTCAAGGTTTTGTGTGAAGATGTGCGTGTGTATGTGTTAATCCATTTTAACTACAGTGCAGAAATCGTGAATGATAAACCCTGAACTCTGTCAGTCATGTCTTAGTATTTAGGGCACTTGACTCGCAATTTGCGAATCGCGGGTTCGAATCCCATTACCAAACATAATCGACCTTTCAGCCGTGGGAGCTTTATAATGTAACGATCATTTACACTTTTGGTTGGTAAAGAGTAGCTCAAGAGTTAGCGGTGGGTGGTGTTGACCAGCTTCCTTCCCTCTAGTCTATTACTTCTAAATTAGGGACGGCTAGCGTTTAAAGATTTGTGTATACGGTTCACTTTGAACCTGTTTGCATATTATTTTAATATTTTAAAGTTCAATTACTTTTACAACAGGCTTCAAATGTAATTCACTCACACAGTGTGACTGCCAATAAGGCCAACTGTTTTTTAAGACCCTTAGAATCCAGTTTGATAAAGGTGAGCAAATTACTTTATGACACTCACGGAACGTGTATGTATATACTAAATCATAACCTATTGAACTTCGTAACTAATCACTTATTAAACATCCATATAAACAGTGATATTTCGTTTTATGCTGCGGTAGTTCAGCAGTAGGTCAGTGGACTTATAACGCTAACAATCGGGTTTCGATACCCGCGGTGAGAAGAGAACAGATAAGCTTTGTGCTTTATTACAAACTAACAAACAATTCGTTTTGAACTTTTGGTTTATTTCGTATTTTAATTCAGCAGTGAAGTTGAGGACTTGGAACGTTAAAATTCAGGGTTCAATCTCGTTGTGTAGCTTTGGGTAGAATTGTTGTTTAGCGGCCTATATTCCATTTTTTTAGAAATCGAGGACAAAAAATTACAACTCAACCGAAAGTTATTATTCAAAGTGTTGCAAAAATTTCACTCAAAATGAATAAAAAATCTTATGTCTTTATTTATTTACCAATATTTTAATTATATTTAAAACTCGAGGACAGCTATTTTTTAACCAATCACAATTAGTAAAAATCAAGGTAAAATTGTGGTTTTATGGTCGAAAACCCAATATGAAATGTAGACCGTTAAAACACGATTATACTCAGTTTGGAGATAAAACAATAATTATTACGCTATTTACAGCTGGATATTAATTTTACTCCTTACAGTGCCTTCCACATTGTGGTTTAATATCCTGTTTGATGCAGTTTTTCCTCGTTTCCCCTGTGGTATTCTGGTCTCTATATAGGTAATAAAATTACGTTTCTATATTCATTTGAATTTCATAGAAATGTATTGTTATATAGATTCCGTTAAACAGAAAATCTTGTCTCTTTTTTCGTTTCTGTAAACTTTAATAACACTTTAGATACTTATGAATCAATGTGTGGTGGTTTTGTTTCTAGTCTACGTAACAACACATAGCATAAGAATGTAGATAGACACTGTTATTAATAGAATTTTGGTCACGTGGCATTGACCTAATGTATATTTTTTTATAACATAAAAAAGTGTCTTACACAAAATCCCCCCCCCAGTAGCTCAGCGGTAAGTCTGAAAAGGTATAACGCTAAAAACTGGGTTTCGATACCCGTGGTGTCCAAAGCACAGATAGGTCAGTGTGTAACTTTTTGCTTAACAACGAACAAACAAACCATCCTACACAAATCCTTCCTAATCCAATTGAATCAGTTGCTCGTTATTTTTTTGTTTGAGGGATGGAAAAGGTTGATTTATCATCCAAACGTAGAAAAATATTTCACATTTAATGCTTTAACATACTTTAATTTATTCGTTCAATACAAAAATTGATTAAAAATTTTATATATCCTAGCTTCAGGGAATCACTAAAATTGACTTGTTATACATAACTTATGTTGGTTCCAAATTGTGTGTGTGTGTGTATGTTTTTGTATTTGGCTCCACGAAATCATTTAAGAAACTCATTATACAGAAGGTATATATACACTGAGTGGTCACAAGTAGATAGACACATACTTTTTCGTCATTTAACTGATTTATGCTAACTAATTTGTGTTCACGGAGCACTAAGTGTGCGGACCATTTTCATTTATAGATTATCTTGTGCTACAACATGCCTAGAACTCAAGGTTCTCTCGAATTGTCAGATTTTGTTAGAGGAAGGATAGTTGGTCAAACAGATGGAGGAATAAATCAGCGGCAAATTTCGCAGAATTTGGGAATCCCGCTTTCGACAGTCAACAGAATTATTGTGCAGTTCAGGAAACACGGCAAGGAAACAACTGAGCAGCGTCCTGGTCCATCGGAGAGGACAAAAAGGGCTGTCAAGAGGAACATCAAAATGGATCTCAGATTAACGACTGCAGAAGTGGACAAAGTTGGTGGTATGAGCCCGAAATCTGTTCAACGGATTCTCCACATATTGGGTTATCGTTGCAGAGCAGCTAGACGGAAGCCCTTATTAAGACCTGCCAACATAGTCAGACGAAAGAAGTGGGCAAGTGATATGATGACCAAGCCTCTGGACTTTGGAAGACCGTATTGTTCTCAGACGAATCAAGATTCGCTCAATTTTCGGACAGTGGAAGGATATGGGTCTGGAGAATGCCTCACCAAGAGTTTTGGCTCAACAGATTGCAGCCATCTGTGGAGCATGGCGGTTTCAGCGCGGTGGTTTGGGGAGCTGTTTGGGTTGGTAGGTGATCGAGCTTAGAGAGTGGGTTGACAACAATAATTTTGCGAAATATTGG